GAGGAGAAATTAGCGGTAGCGAATCAATCACCCGGTGCTTTATGACCAGACCTACCGGGATATAAACCGGAGGAGCCAGGCATGGAGGGAGGTGGCAGAGACAGTGGTATGTTTTCGCCTGTTTTGGGGAGTTTATATCCAGTTTACTTCGGGCTTTTTGGCTTCATATGTCGCGGGCGGGAGATTCATGTGATTGGTTGATCGCAAAAAAATCCCCAAGCCTCAGATACGCCCACCTCCAAGATTTTTTTAACGCTGCCGTGGAGACGGCCCGTGAGAACAGAAAAACGAAAAAACGAGCTGAATTTCCGTTTTTTGGTTTTGGGGCAAAATTGAAAAACAAAAAAACGACCCGTTTCTGTTTTATTATTAGTTTCAATTAGAACTAAAAAACAAACGGTTAAAACGTACCTTGGTCGTCCGGAACATCAAAATGTCTAACTTGCTTTATGAATTAGTGTGATATATATTGAAGTAGCCTGTAGCTTTATCAACGTCTGCATGTAACAACTTTTAAAAATAAAATAGAGAAAATAAATAAAATAGCTTTTGAAAATGTGTGCATCTTAAAAGTGCTTAATTTTAGATAAATAAAATAAAGTGTAGCAGCAGCTTGAGTTTCCCTTTTTCTTTGTTAACCGTTTCACATCATGACCTAACCGTTTCAGACGATTATAGAACAATATCAGTCTTTACACATCATAACAATTGAACAGTTTTAAAGTTTCTCTTTCTTTCCCTCTTATATTGCAGTCCCTCACTCACTTTTTTGTATTCAGTGCGAGAATTGATCTCGAGCTTGTCCTGCCAGGAGTTTGTAAATCTGGGCTGAAATGGTGTCAGGGCCATTCTCATACACATGCAGGTGCTCATTGGTTAGCCTGGAACAATATTTAGTTTTAATTTCGATCCTGGTGGACTGATCATATTGGGCTCTGAGACTGCTTATTTTTTGTGACCTCAGTTCTGACTTGAGAGGGAATGTTTGGTCAAACACTTTGTGTTTTGTCTCATATACCCCTTTCACACCAACGGTGTTTCGGGGCCGGTTCGGTGCTGGTGCTTGAAAAGCACCGGGTTTTCCTGTTCACACCGCAGCGGAGCAGCCTCTAAGCTCCGGAATCCGGTTCGTTTCGAGCACCAAAAAGTTGTCCGTGTAGAAGCAAGAACCGCTTACGTCGGAGGGGGGCGAGATTAACCTGAGATAACAGTTAAGGCGAGTACGGCAAATAAAAGTTGTAACCAGCAGTAGTGCTGAGCAAAGTGACTAGAACGCAACCACACACTTGTTAAAAAAAAAAACACGCTTTATAAAGTCAGGCAACACTAACCAGGCTTCGTGTGATTCTGTTTATTTGTACCTTACTTTGACCATCCGTTCGCTGTTATTGATCATTGTGGAGAGCAGGCAGACGTTTTGTTTGTTATTATAGCAGCTATCGGATGGAATCAATACATGGGCTGCACAGGTTGTCATGTCCGACTATAAAAGTAGAATCATAATGAAAAATACGCCGGTAAAAAGTGCCTGTAGAAAACGGCTTAGCAAGTAGTCAGTTTAGCTTCGGTTGCTATGCTAACATCACCCATGTTATACCAGAGAAACTTTCATAACAGCGTTGTGATGCCAAACAGCGTCAATTCAGACTGACACCAAACAGCGTCAATTCAGACTGACACACATTCACTTAAGGGGAACTGGGGATATGTATCAGCTGCTTGTGTGACAGTCAGACAGTGAATACTTTAGAGCCGTGTGAGCTAACCCGGAGCTAACGGGAGAATACACTCGTGGAAGAGCAGCAGCACTGTAGCAGTCGGTAAATGCCGCTGAAACACATTAATAAACAATGAACCACGGCACTCTGGAGAAAAGTATAAGGTTGGAGAAGTCGTTATTTAATTTAATCTGGCTTCGTATGATTAAAAGCAACGCAGTCCCCGGCCCGTTGTTATTGTGAGGTGAGCTCCGTTGGGGAGAAAATCAGCGACGTAAACTGTGACGTCATGACGCAGCAGCGGCAGCACCAGTCGGTCTCTGAGCGGTGTGAAAAGAGCCGGAGCTAAACCGAAGTACCGGTTCCGAACCTGAAAAGCTCTAGCACGGAGCTAGAACCGGAGTTGCGTTGGTGTGAAAGGGGTAATAGTGGCGTTTTGACACTTTTAATGAGTGCCACGGTCTCTGAACAAATGAGACACACTGGCTCTGTGCTCCCAGTGGGCAGGATGAACATGAATGAGTCCGTCCACTCAGGATTACAAGCTCTGTTCTCTCTGTCCACTTTCCTCTTCTTGGAGAGCGCCATGTGTAATTATTTGTCTCTCCCTGTCTGCCGCTAACACGCCTGTTCACTCTCCTCTCCGCTTCTCTCCCTGTATCGCTAATTATTCTCTTTACTCACTTTCCTCTCCGCTTCTCTCTGCCGCACTCTCATCTCTTCTTCTGTGTTTCTCTCCCTGTATCGCTCACTCGTCTCTTTCGCTGTCGGCAGCGGTTAAAATGGAATCGCCCCGTCAAAGTTGAAATCCCCTATTAATGTATTGATTATAGGTCCGGGTCCGTATAGGTCGGCGTCTGGGTCCGGATCCGGACCGCGGTCCGCCTGTTGCCGACCCCTGCCATAGACTGTATCCTACATTACTCGTTTCCTTTGTGGTTAGACGGTAATGAGAGTGAACTGAATTCAAATCACGAGAAGAGATAAACAAAACAAAAAGAGAGGGTACTTAGGGGGCTATTATACATATTGGTTTATTATTCTTAAACCCATAAAGCATATCTGTGATCTCCTTTATATTTAAAAAGCGCTATTTTCATCAATTTACTGGAAAAATATGCTCTATGAAGCGACTGTAGCTGCAGATGCATACACTTTGGGATGACCAGACTGTATATTTAAAGGGTATAACAGGGTGAGGCTCTGAGGCTGTGACGATGCTGGTCATGCAGGAGTGGGCGTGGTGGGACAATCGTCTCGAGGAGAATGTTCATGGTTGTGATTGGCTGTTCTCTGATCTTCCCCCTTCTCCACTCCATATAGAGAGCCTAAGTCCCTCCCTTTCCGGTGGAACTCCATGGGACCTTATTTTGGAAAACTGATGCATTGAAGTCAATGGCGAGAGAAAAATTATCTTTCGATCCCGTTTGAATTGTGCCATGCATTAGACATATGATGTTTTTCAATTTAAAAGATAATTTTGCAAGTCAATAAAAAAAAGGTTTGTCGTAAAACTGTGAAGTAACACTTATTTTTGTGTGAAACCGCTCCATGAACTACATCTCTGGTCTCGCACAACACACGTCACCAACACCAGAATGAGGCAAAAAGTATTAAACGAGGTTGAAATCATGACACGTCTGGGCATGTTGAGAGCTGGTATTACACAAAAGGGGAGTTAGACTGTTCCGTAAGATCCAGCATGCGGGACCGGCTGTACAATGTTTCGGTGAGTGTTAAACGAGTGTAATGTGTAACGTTAATCTCAGCTAGCTAACAAACAAGGTACACTCTTGTGTTGTGTTTTAGCAACTAGTTTTCTGTGTACCTTGTCCTTGCCAACACTATTGTTATCCACAGCCAGAGTTGGATGTAACGCGTTACTGTAATAATATTACTTTTGTCGGTAACGGAGTAATGTAACGCGTTACTTTTATAATTCAGTAATCACACTACAGTTACTAACATTGCCTGACACGTGTTACTTCGTTACTTTTATAAAATCAGTAATCACACTACAGTTAGCCTACTAACATAAAGAATTACTAGATTCTCCCTTTGACAGACAAGACGGATTTCCGCCGCAGGTTTATATTTACGTAACATTTGCTCGACTTGCGCGTCCACATGCAGTGCATAAACATGGTTGAGACAACAGCGATAACTTTCGAGGGGTGGAGGTCTGCCCATTATTTTGAGTTCGTCCGAAGAAAGGACAGGAATGTGACGGTGAGGTGCAAACTATGTCCAGGTCAGAAGCTTTTATCCACTGCTGCAAACACAACGTCAAACCTCAACCAGCACCTGCAAAGACAACATGCTAACGTGAAGCTAATAGCTAAGGAGGACCTCCGAATCCATCTCTGTCCACAGCATACACAGCGATCACGCAGTTCTTAACCCTTAGATGCCCGAGTGACTGGACACTACACTCTTCCATAAGTGGGTCTAAAAGGACCCGTATTAGAATAATATGTGTTTTTATGCAATTTTTGTCATTTTGGTTAAGAAAAATCTCTTGTATAATATTTAGTATTATATTTTGGTTCACACTAGAAATATTTTATATTTAATCTTTCACTATTTATAATTTTAGAAATGTCTTTTGCATTTTGAAAAAAAACGTTTTCCCAGAGGATTCCATAGAAAATGCATGCGGGTCAGTTTTGACCCACTTATGGAAGCTTGGGGTACTAATACAAAAACTACAATTTCTTAAAATGTAAATTAAAAATTTGAATGGCATGATATCCAAAACATGTTTTTTGAGGAATAGCTGGAATATGAAATGATAAAAAAATGTAATTACAGAGATACTCTAAGAAAACCACCTCACCGGGTCCAAAAAGACCCAATTATGCATCTAAGGGTTAATACTTTTTGCCTCATTCTGGTGTTGGTGACACTAGTCACAGTTTTACGGCAAACTGTGACTTTTTTGACTTGGAAATTATTTTTGAAGATTGACAAACATCATATGTGTAATTCATGGCAAAATTCAAACGGGATCGAAAGATAATTTATCTCTCGCCATTGAATTCAATACATATTTTTTTCCGAAATAAGGTCCCATGGTGGATCACCGGAAAGGGAGGGACTTCGGCTCTCTATAAAAGGATCATGTCGCAGTACGTCTTCAGTTGAGGGGAGTCTCTGAACGGAAAACTCTCGTCCTGTGATGCTCTGAGACTGAAGACATCCAAGGTTGTGTGTGTGTATATAATATGTATATATATGTATATATATGCATGTAGTGTCTTGACTTTAAAGAGTCCTCTCCTGCTGATGTTCAGGTGTATATCAGTAAGTATTCCGGGTCATTTAACTCCGTTAGGAAGGTTCCTAAGCTTAACTGACAATTCGACCGTATCCCTGCTGTTGGAGAATCTCACTTTATGCTCAGATTCAGACGGAGACATGTTAGTCTTGATGGTTTGTTTCTCTGATGAACTCTCCATCTGCATAGCTTCATTGTTTCTTCTCTTATATCTTCTTAAAACAATGTAGGCAATGCTGACGACAAAGAGAATCAGAACAGCTGCTGGTACTCCAACGTGTGTTCTGCGACACTCTTTTTGTGGACTCTCTGTTGTTCTCTGAGGTTTTAAGTCTTTAGCAGCTGTGGAAAAGAACAGAATATAACATGATGAACCATTTTAGTGTTAATATACAGTGAAAACATGACAATCTGCAACCTTCATTCTTCTGAAAAACATCCTGTGGTTCCAGCTTCTCAGTTTCCCCTTTTCCACTCAAATTAGTTCTGTGCTGGTTTGGAACACAGTTCATTTGAGTGTAGAGTTTTATTTTAAAATGAGTTGTGCACATTTGAAACAGTTCAAACAAGCCGTTCTTAAGATTTGAGCAGCAGGACTCTTTTGGTCTTTCTGGATGACATTAATGGTCCTCAGAGGCTTCCTAGTGACTTTGTTGAGTATTTCCTTTTCCAACTGTTAACTGTTCAATTATTGGCGTATATGATCCAATTTGAGGCAACATAATGGATGTATGAATTAGTATTTGGCTCTGTGGAGCCTCTAGACTTCTACTGAGTTTACTCACCAGTGACGTTGAGCCAGCATCTGCTGGAGTTACTCCCATCATGTACGAGTATGTCACACCGATAAAACCCAGAGTCACTGGTCCTGAGTCTGGAGACATGAAGTGTGAGGCGTCCTTCTGTGAGGACGTCTTTGTTCCACTGGACTCGTCCTGCAAACTCTGGATCCTGAGAATCTGGGGTTTCAATACCTCCATGGAGATGAAAGAGGACGTAGGTCCTTTTATAAGTGAACAGCTGACAGACGATAAAAAGGTAGTGTAGGGAAGTGTCTGTTCTGGTGCTGAAGGTCCACTCCAGGGTGATGTTCTGGTTCTCCTCTGCCTGATAGGAAGTCTGAGTCACATTCACTACAAATGTTCCTGTGGAGGAGACACAGAGGGACTCTTTAAACTGCAGCTATGTTACTGTGGAGGAGACACAGAGGGACTCTTTAAACTGTAGCTATGTTCCTGTGGAGGAGACACAGAGGGACTCTTTAAACTGCAGCTATGTTCCTGTGGAGGAGACACAGAGGGACTCTTTAAACTGCAGCTATGTTCCTGTGGAGGAGACACAGAGGGACTCTTTAAACTGTAGCTATGTTCCTGTGGAGGAGACACAGAGGGACTCTTTAAACTGCAGCTATGTTTCTGTGGAGGAGACACAGAGGGACTCTTTAAACTGCAGCTATGTTCATGTGCTGCTTTACTGAGAACAGCTTTAAAGAGACAAACTGGAACTAACCAGTAACAGTGTGCTCTTATTTATAACAGAGCTGCATGCTGGGAAATGAAGGTACAGAAGAGTATTAGTGCTAGCTATAATGGAAAACAAAGAAGAAGAGGACAACTGTTTTTATATTAAGCATGTTGAGAAAAAAATAAAATCTATCATAAAAAACATTGTTGTGCATTGAATTTGAATTATTGAGAATAATCATTGAACTTTTATTGAATTCAAGTTTTTCAATAAAATTCAATTGTGTCTAAGTGGGAAATAAAGGAGTAAACTAACCAGAGACACGGGGGGTGAGGAAGAGGAGCAGCAGGATGATGAAGGTCATCTTCTTCCTGCGAGAGGACACACATACACAATCACACACACACACACACACACACACACACACACACACACACACACACACACACACACACACACACACACACACACACACACACACACACACACACACACACACACAGTCTGAGTTTGTGTAGATAAAATAACACAGCGGGTTTTCAGGGGGTAGACCCTAAATGCAACGGCAAATAAACCTGTGAACTTGTATTTAAATCTCAATATGAAAATTGAAGACAAACAACCTAATGTTGTCAAATCTCACAATAACAAGTTTAATCTTACGATTTACTTTATTAACACCACATTTGGAAACGTTCACGTTACAGCATGTGGAAAAAGACATTGCACATGACAAATACAGGACAAAAATAAAGCTTATGTGTATATTGTATATACACACAGGAAGAGAGAACAACAGTGAGGGAAATGTGGTTAAAAAAGGAACAAAGCAACTATGGGAATAACTACTAAAACTTTAATATATCCATTCATTACTGGATTTCTGTCACATTGCAAGAAGAGAGTTTTCATTCAGTAAATAACATTCAGGGAGGGTAAATGCACACACCCACACACACACACACACACACACACACACACACACACACACACACACACAAATCACACATTAGAAAACATACAGTCTGTCTTTACCACATTACTTATTACACAGAGGACTAATACCAGGAACAGTAACATATGTCGGACAAGTGGCGCCAGATAAACATTATATTTTCGTTAAACTGAGATCAGTGAACAAAGCAGAAAGAGAGGACAAACTAAACCCCTTTAGTTTTCTTTCAGAATCTTTATGAATAATAACAATAATTAAAGCTGCAAGCAGCGATGAGCGGGTCTTTGGCGCTCCGTGCGGGTTCGCTGGTGTCAGCACGTCTACGTCACACAGGTGTTTTCCTCACTCGGCCGTTGGCAAACGTGGGAAGTTACAGCAACAGCGTTTTAGCGAATTTCACAATTATCATATAGACATGTTGAGGGCCGGACCATTAACCATCATCTGAAGTCTGGGGCCGTTTGGACGATTTTCCATTGAGTTATGACAACATCGTGTTTTTTGGCAAGGGATGCGTTTCCATTGAAACGGCACATGGTGAGATCTCAGATTTGACATGGAGCTGTTGAGGCATGGACCGGTGACTTACAAGTGAAGATTTGGGGACGATCGGACCGTGTCCATTGGAGTTAAAGCAACATCGTGTTTTGTGGCGAGGGATGCCATGGTAACGCCACATTATGTAACATCAGATTTGACGTAGAGCTGTTCAGGGCAGCAGTGTTAGTGATAGTCTGATGTTTGGTGGCGTTCTGAGCATGTCAGTTGGAGTTATGATATCATGCGTCTCGAGACGCTACTCGCAGAATTTGGAGTCGATCGGATAAAATCCCTTGGAGGAGTTCGTTAAAGCACGGAGGGCGAAAAATCGTGTTTTTCCAACGCCAAATGAAATATGGCCAACTTCTTGTACGTTTTTTTATACACCTCCAAGAGGCTTTTTTGTTCGTCTCCGCACCCTAGATATACGTATATATCTTTTTTAGTCCTTTAAACTGCACTTGGGTCCTATTTTCCCCAAACCTGACAGTAGGAACAGACCAGTATGGACCCAGCAGTTTTTTTCCCTCAAGAGTTGGATCCGCTGATGAACACTCTTGAGTATATCTTTTACAAGTGGATGAGAGTCTCATCCAGAGCGGCCAAGGAGGCTGCCCTGAAGGAGCCACGCATGGAGGTGGCCAACAAGCCCTGGCTCTGGAGCTTGTTGCCCGAGTGGCTTAAGGTTTTTATAAGCAGCCCTGAGTGCCTGTCTCAAGCCTCGAACCCCTTCCTGGGATCCGGCCTGGCCTTAGGAGGTCCACGGAGTCTCCAAAAGGTCTCTAGGAGACGCAAGACCAGGATTCCAGCCCGTGCCCCAGCAGCCATGTTTCCGGCTCCAGTTCCGGCCCCTGCTGCCATGTTTCTGGCTCCAGTTTCAGCTCCAGTACTGGCTCCCCGGCCGACGCTAGCCCCCCGTGTCCTGTCGGCGTTCCGACCGACGCCAGTTCCCCGTGTCCTGTCGGCGTTCCGACCGACGCCAGCCCCCCGTGTCCTGTCGGCGTTCCGACCGACGCCAGTTCCCCGTGTCCTATCGGCGTTCCGACCGACTCCAGGTCCCCGTCTCCTGTTGGCGGTCCGGTCCTCTCAAGTCCCTTCTCAAGTCCCTTCTCAAGTCCCTCCTCTAGTCCCTTCTCTAGTCCCTTCCCAAGTTCCTTCTCAAGTCCCTTCTCTAGTCCCTTCTCTAATCCCCTCTCTAGTCCCTTCTCTAGTCCCTTCTCTAGTCCCCTCTCAAGTCCCCTTTCAAGTCCCTTCTCGAGTCCCCTCTCGAGTGCCCTCTCAAGTCCCCTCTCAAGTCCCTTTTCAAATCCCATCTCAAATCCCTTCTCATGTCCCTTCTCTAGTCCCTACTCATGTCCCAACTCCATGCTTTGTTCCGTTGGGTGTTCTGCTGGGGATCTGCCAACACCATGTCCTGTCCCGTTGGGGGTCCCGCCGACTGCTGTCCTGCCGGGGGTCCTGCCAACCCCATGTCCTGTTCCGTTGGGGGTCCAGCCGACACCTGTTTATTCCGGGGTCCTGCCAACTCCACGTCCTGTTTCGTTGGGGGTTCCGCTGGGGGACCTGCCAACTTCATGTCCTGTGCTGTTGGGGGTCCAGCCGACACCTGTTTCGTCGGGGGTCCTGCCAACTCCATGTCCTGTTCCGTTGAGGGTCCAGCCGACACCTGTTTCGTCGGGGGTCCTGCCAACTCCACGTCCTATTCCGTTGAGGGGCCAACCGACACCTGTTTCGTCGGGGGTCCTCCCAACTCCATGTCCTGTTTCGTTGGGGGTTCCGCTGAGGGTCCTGCCAACTCCGTGTCCTGTCCTGTTGGTGGACCCGTCGACACGTGCTACGCCGAGGGTCCTGCCGACACCAGCCCTTGTTTTGTCGCGAACACCTGTCCCGACAACACCGGTGACTATCCCGCCGACACCTGTTTCGCCGGGGGTCCTGCCAACTCCCTGTCCTCTCCTGTTGATGGTCCCGCCGACACCAGCCCTTGCTCCGTCGGGGGTCCCACTGACACCAGCCCATGTTCCGTCCAGGGTCCCGTCTACGCCTCTCCCGCCAGGGGTCCCACCAGCTCCTGCTCTCGATCCCAGTGCTCCGGAGATCCAGCTGACACTGGAGGGGTCCCATTGCGGCCTCCGTCCGGCCAGTCCTCGGGAGCTGTCCCGTCGCCGCCTTCCTGCCCGCCCTCGGGAGTTGTCCCGTCGCCGCCTTCCTGCCCGCCCTCCGGAGCTGTCCCGAAACCCCCTCCTCTAACTCTGCCTTGTGCCCGGGCCGTCCGCCTGAGACCCCCTCCATGAACTCTGCCTTGCCCCTGGGCCGTCCACCCAAGACCCCTTCCTGGTCCTCTGCCGTGCCCCCGGGCTGTCAGCCCAAACCCGTCCTCCAGACCCCCTCGACCCACCCTTCTAGAGGTTTTGGACTTTTTTGTTTTGTTGGGACATCTGGAATTCGTCTCCGCACCCTAGATATACGTAGCGATTTTCGTTCATTACGTGAATTTGAATGTGGGGGGAGTTTAGGTTAAAAACGGAAGTGGGCGTATGTCCCATGGCGAATGTGTCCTTTCTGCTGAGTCACTCTCTCCACATTAGAGGAGCTGTATCTGTCATGGTTTTGGATTTATGTTTTCATTTTCCACTTTTTATTTTGAAATGTTTTCCTCCTTGTGTCTTGTCTGATCCTACTTCCTGTGTTTGCCTCCCTGTCGTTAGTTCCCCTGGGCCCTTTCTCATGTCATCAAATGTCCCTCCTCGACTCCTCGACTCCTCGGTCCTCCGGTAGTGACCCGGAAATGAATTTTAGCGCGCCATGTTGAAGGACATCTCATTTCTCGAAATGCACATCGAGGACCGAGCATCGAGCGTCGAGGAGGCTCTCTGGAGGAGCTATAACCGAGGATACACTGATGGGTCCTCCACGGTCCTCCACGGCTCCTTCGTGGATGCATTTCCGGCAACAGTGATGTTTCAAAGAGTCGAGACGCACGGCCGGACTTATCTCAGCCAATGACAGCTCTGCATGCATCCCCTGGATATTATTTTATTAACTGCTTTCATCGCGACGCGATGTTTACAGTGAGAACAGCTGTGAGGTCCGTGCAGAAAGCAGAGCAGTGTGTATAATATATATCACTCAGTATAACAGGCATACTCTCTTTATTTGCTTTAGTTTAGTAGATATCTACAAACAAAGTCGATATTTTTCTAAAACCATTTAGTGCTTCACATAATAAAATACACAACGGCTGTAGCCTGATTATATGCTTTAGGAGTTGTAGGTGCGTGTGTGTGGTGTAGGTGTGTGTGGTACAGTGTGTGCGTAGATGCAGCGGACAGACAGGTCTCAGTTGGTTTGGTGTCCTCTGCTTACTTGTAATACTTGTAAATAAAACTTTTGGCCCGTCATTTATTTCCCTCATTGTAGCGACCAGAGAGGGGAGAGGGGATATATCCAGTCTCTGATAGTGTTACGTTATTATGAGAGTGCTCTGTTTGATTCTGAAATTGTATATATTTATATAAATATATACATATATGTGTGTGTGTGTGTGTGTGTGTGTGTGTGTGTGTGTGTGTGTGTGTGTGTGTGTGTGTGTGTGTGTGTGTGTGTGTCTGTGTGTCTGTCCGCATCTGTAGCCTGTTATTGTCTCATTATACCGCACTGTGAATGAATTAAAAGTAAATATATAAGTCGTCATGAACACATCTGTCCATCAGACAGAGTGCTGCTGTGCCTCCTGTCATCATTAATGGACGTCTCTTTAAAATGACCGCTCAGAGGAGAGGAGTTCTCATTTCTCTAACCGCCTGCTGCTTCCCCTCCTCTCTCCTCGGTTCCCCTCCTCGGCTCCTCCGCTCGCATCTCCTGTGGGCGGGACTAAGTCTCGAGGATAGGAGTCGAGGAGGGGAGTCGAGGAGGAACATTTGAAGACATGAGAAAGGGCCCTGGTGTGTCTGATTGTCTGATTGTGTTCACCTGTTGCCCTTGTGTTTCTGCATCCCCTGCCCAGCTTTGTCTTGTCCTGTGATTACCCTTCTGTGTATTTAGTCTTGTCTTCCCCTGTGCTCCATGTCTGTTCGTCGTCTTTCCATGTCCCTGCTACCTTGTCTCTTCATGTCCTTGTTCCCTGCCTCGCCTACGCTTGTCTTTGCTAGTCCATGGTTGCGGTCGAATAGTCCATTTAGCTTAGGAACCTTCCTAACGGAGTGAAATGACCCGGAAGTCCCTCAGTGGCAGCCATGATAAGTGCCGTTCGAATTCTCTAAATGAAAGGAAAGGAGCTTTCAAACTTCCTTTATAACCTCCTTTAGCTTAGGAACCACTGGACCTCCCTAGCCGAAAGGAGAGGAGAAAATGCTGCCCCACAATGCCTTGCGGCCGCGGCATTTGCCGTCACACAACAGTCGGCCGTTCACGGAAACAACCGATTATGAACGAGAAATGATATCATGAAAGTTATGGTGCTTATTAAGCATTTTAAAACGTATGTGGTAAGTTGCCAAAGTGCTTTGTTTTGAACGTTCATCAGTATTATAATCAAAAAGAGAAATGTGAACGTTAGTTTTTACTGAAATGATCAAATAAAGTCAACATTTCACAGTCTTTACTAAGCTGTGTGGGGTTTGTTCAACTTTTAAAAGATGTTTGAATGGTGATATACACAGTGATAGATGTTAAGGACTAACGTTTATAATAAATACATTTGTATTGATTTGAAGATCTTTTCATACAATCATACGTATTGGGATCATTTGTATTAATGTGGACCGGAGGGAGAGGGTGACGAGCATAAGTTTCACTTTCCTTTTTTATTTCAATTCCAACTTTGGTCATGAAGAATATGTTTCTCTGTTGTCCCTGTTCATAAAGCATAAAGCAACAGCATCAGAGCACGGTGCAGAGTCTCTAGATGAGTTTACAGTAGTCCCTCGTTCTTATTAAACATCCATGTTGTAGTCCGCTGTATAGAAAACTGTAGTTTCCATAGTTTCCCCACCGCAGCAGGCGCACATTTATGACCTCCGCTGGCGCATCATAAACACGTCGGATAGTGGAAGTGCAGTTGGATTCTCTAAAGTACCGCAGTCTCTTCTCCTAAGTCCTTTTGAATTCTCCTATCCACTATCCCTTAACCCCGTGATGTTTCACTCAGAGGTTAAGGAATAGACGATAGGGTTAGAATTTAGGAGCTGATTTTTGGATTATTCGACCGCAACCCATGTCTCCTGCCTGTTCCCGTCTGTACATTTGTTCCTGTCTGTCGTGCTCCCCAGTTTTGTTAATGTTAATTGGTATCTTGTTTTCTTTTGTCATCGGCCTTTTTTTTGGAATAAAGCTCGCTTTTTGTTACCTTACCTTTTTTAGTCCTTTAAACTGCACTTGGGTCCTATTTTCCCGGAACCTGACAGTATCACTGCGTGTGTCTTGGGGAGGAATTGGTAATTTGAGACGACTCACACACACATGACTCTGAAATCTCTTTCCACGAAGCACACATCCAAGTTTATAGTTTAAGTTTACAATCAAACAAATAAATAAACACAAGGATAATTGCGTCTTATTTTTGAGTAAATAACAGTGTGTGGTTTAGGAAATAATACAAAATTAGAACGAAAAAACGATGAAACAATACAGATGTCAGTATTCTGAGCCCCTAATCTCCCCCTAACTGAGGCAAAAAAAGTCAGACATTATACAATCAAAATAAAGAAGTAAAAACAATAAGTGTGGCTTGATATTGAGTAAGAAAAAGATTGATAAACGCTGTGAGAATGGATCTGCGGAGAGCATTTCTCCGAGATCCCAACTCGTCTATTACCAATGTTCAGGGAGCTCTATGCAAGTCAATGGGACTCCCTGATGGTTGAAAATCGATGCTAAAGGGCCCCCTACTGCGTTTTATTGTGACGCCAAAGGATCCTGACATATAGTTGGGATATAGAGTTGGGAGTAAGAATGTGTTGCAATGGGCCATTTCAGAATAATATACAGAGATAAGTACATTCACTCAAGTGCTGTACTTACGTACAATTATGAAGTACTTAGTACCATGTTATGCTTCTTTGTACTTCCAACCCACTACAATTCAGAGGTCAATGGTATACTATTACTCCCCTACATGTATTTAATACCTTTAGTTACTTTACAGATCTGGATTAATGATGTGACATATGATCAAGTCTTAAATCAGACTTTAGATGTTGACACATTTAGATCAAAACCATCCAACATTATATTTAAGCAGAGGTGGAAGAAGTACTCAGATCTCAAGTAAAAGTAGAAAAGTATTATCATCAAAATATACTTAATGTACCAAAAGTAAAAGTACAAAAGTATCAGCATCAAAATATATTTAAAGTACCAAAAGTGAAAGTAGTCATTGTGCAGATTGGTCCATTTCAGAATAATATATATGATACGTTTTATAATGATTGATCATTAAAGTGTTATCAAAGCTGGTAAAGGAGCAGCTAGTGATATTGAGTGGCAATAGTCACCACATTAGGCGTTAATTCAATATATTTTTTGTGTCTCATGCGATTCAGACATTAGGCTGAGCTCGTTCTCTTAAAGGAACGAACAGAGGCACAGTTTGTGTTTGAGAAACGTCAACTCGTTCTCTTATTTTAGTTTAATCTGGTGCCTGTTCAAGAGGTTCAACAGGAGAGAAACAGAAAGCAGCAGTAAGATATATTTCCTTAATAAAGTAGAAACATGTGTTCTGGTTCTTACCTGTAAAGATTTGAGACTGTAGAGACCTCAGTGCTGACAGCTCTGTCTTCTGGATATCATGCTGAATATGTCCGATGAAAAACAAAAGGATAGTTTCACCTTGGTGTTTCAACAAGGTTTAGAAAGGTGTGTTGTTTTCTGTTGTCTGAGCAGTATGTATACGCCCAGGGAATGAAACATGCAGTCTGCAGTATAGTGAGCTGCAGGCTGTGACAGGAGGATATAAAGTACTCAAACCAGTTTAAATAACGTTTAACACGTATAGTTAAAGAATAAGAATAAGGATCAAGGGGGATTTCCTTTATGTGTTGAGAAACATCTCCTCCTTGTTAACTTGAAATAAAGTCTTTAAAAAGCCTCTTGGATCATTCTCTTCACAAATCTGAACACAGTTTTTCTGAGAAACTCATGACTTTTAGAGTTTCCCAAACATTTTCTGTCAGGCCCCCCATTGGGTAATTGGAAATATTTTCGAGCCCCCCCCCAACCCGTTTCCCACGTAGATTGGTAGGATTTATAGTATATAGTTGTACCAACATTACATTTTCTCTGCTAATAATAACAAGACACAAAGATCCAGCTATCATTGTATTTGTTATTATGGATTGAACAGCTTCCGCAAACCTCCACGAGCCCCACAGTTTGAAAAATGCTGTTATAGAACATGATGCATTGCTTCAGATTAAAAAATAAATCACTATTTAATTGAGTTGAAATCATCTAAAGAAGTCACATGCAACATGTTATTCAATTTGACAGCACTATTTTCTTTGACAAATATCCCAAATTATACCAGAAGAGTTGATCAAAAAACATCCTAGACCGATTTTGATTTGATTTTGTCATGTGCAATGTCTTTTTTCACATCATGCTGTAACGTGAACGTTTCCAAATGTGGTATTAATAAAGTAAATCGTAAGATTAAACTTATTATTGTGAGATTTGACAACATTAGGTTGTTTGTCTTCAATTTTCATATTGAGATTTAAATACAAGTTCACAGGTTTATTTGCCATTGCATTTAGGGTCTACCCCCTGAAAACCCGCTGTGTTATTTTATCTACACAAACTCAGGGTTTAGCATGTTGGCTCATTTGGTTGTTGGGTTAAATCCACAGTGGGGGGGGGGGGGGGGGGGGGATTTTAAACCGGCAGCTTTCTGTTGTGTTTACTTTCTGCTAAAGTGAAAGTATTTCCTGATTCAGTTCAGAGAAAATATAATGTTCATATCTGGTGCCACCTAGTGTCAGAAGATTACTGTCCTCTGGTTACTCTGAGTAATAAGTAATGTGATGACTACAGACAGTCTATGTTTTCTAATGTGTGACTCTTCCTCACCTCCTGTGTCTCTTAGTGTGTCTCTTTAAAGCTGTTCTCAGTAAAGCAGCGCAGAAAGAGGTACATTTTGTAAATGAATCCCTATTTCTATACGAGTGGCTTTGACTCTTCTGAGTGAGTCATTTAAAACCAGGCAGACTCTCTGGAAAGAAAGAGGAGAAACAGAAATGCACTTTTAATCTCTAGTCTCCATATGATGATCCTTAGTGGAGGTGCACATTCAGCTCTCTGTAACGCTGTGATCCGTTGATGGAAATACTCAACAACTAAAGAAAAACCTTAGTTTCTGATTATTTCAAACTGTTATGAAACGTACCGGTTTTGTTCAGCAGGATAATCTCCACATATAATAAACACTACGTGTCACGCTTTGGGTTACTTTTCATAATAGCTTCTGCACACAAATATATATTCTTCCATCATCAGTAGTTTTCTTACAGTTAAATCAGATGCTCCAACGATTCATTTGAAGAGGGTTTCAGATTATTTGGGATTGTTTCTCTGAGGAACTCATCGTCTGTACATCCTCATTGTTGTATCTTTCCTTGGAGATATAGTAGGCCACAGCCGCGGCGCCAGGATTTCAATTGTGGGTGGGCCAATGTAATTTCGGCTGGGCCTGTTCTAATAGATGTTTCTCGTTAACAAAAATAAAATTAAAATAAATGCCTGCATATCATTGTAGGCAACTGTGTAATGCATATTCCCTATAGTAAAGACACTTTTTCTAAACCCTTCTCTTTTCAACATTTTCACTTATAAGAAGCTTAAATATTATTTAAAGTGGACCTATCATGCTATATTTGAATAATATAGTGTAGGACCATACCTATATAAGGCATATTTATACTTTTTTTTTTTCAAAATACCAAACAGATCATGCATTTTAGCCAGCCTCATTTTGCTCAATTTGCACTTTTTTAGCTCTGTTTTAGCAAGGGCTGATTCAGTGAGAACAGCACCATCTACAGGCCTGGCATATGTACTACAGCCTCTCCAGCGCTTTTGAACGGCAATGGCCGTGGCTGTCTCCTCCTGATTGGTGGAGTTGGCCCAATAGCCGTAGCGCCACCGTCCTGACGTCAGGACAGTGTTCAAATCTGGATCAGTTTTTATCAGATCCGTTGCAGCCCCTTTTTTAGAGATTTGGGTATGGAGGAAAATAGAGAGGGTTGTGTTTTCTGACACTTGGTGAGTTCCCTGGAACACCGGGGACACATATTCATGTAGAAAAGACGTACAAAAGTGCATTTTGCATGATAGGTCCCCTTTAAATGATTAAGCGGCACGCCGCAATGAGTTAAGTTAAATGTTAAACTACTGCATGTTATTTAGTTTTGGTTCACAATACATTGATACATTTAGAAACAAAGAGCATACAACGGCAGAATACGGAATAATGAGCGAACACCTGATGTGTGTCTGTGTGGTTAGACCGCAGGCTGATGTCCTTTTTAGCGGATCTAGCGAAGTGAGCGGCCGTGCGTAATGGCTTTCATGAGCTGAAGTATACGTTTCATACTAAAGCAGCTGGGCAGCAGATACTGTTGCTTCACACTCATAAGCTTTGCTGATTTGGGCTGGAGAATGCCTGCCGCGTCAGGGTGCGCTCTGGTAGTTGCAAATGGCACGACATTTTAGCTCTACGTTTCTTAATCATTTTCCTAGATATTTAGTCTCAATATGAAATGCGGAATCTCTTGCTTTGCACACGTGAGAATTATGTCCGGTAAAACTTTACGTGTTCCCGATTTTTCTCAATGATCTCTCCCTGTCAGTGTCGGCCCTCTGGGTTGAGTAGCTGATGGAGGATGGTTCCATGGTCAGACTTCTCGCACTGTCTGTAGTTTGTATTTCTCTCCATAGCTATTGCATGAGCTGCGCTGCATTCGTGTTTACCGAGAGCATAGTCGATATATTTCCAGTCCCTGTAACCATGGCGACTGAATGTATCTTCTCCGCCGGCCCCGCCTCTCTCACTAAAATGCCGGCACATTTTACAAAACACACTGTCCTTGCTAATGCTATACTCCAAGAGTGTGTACTTGTCATACCAGTGGGCACCGAAAAGTGTCTGAGGGTACTTTATGAGCTTTGGCTGTGTAGCCGCCGGGTCATCTATGGCTGATAGGTCCGGCACTGGGATGCTATTTTCTGTTGTCCTTCCAACGGATGCTACAGATGTAGCAGCTTATTTCAGACTCCAGTTTACAGCTTCCTGCCTGCTACCTGCCTGCTACCTGCCTAAGACCAGCATCTGAGAATGTTAAGCCCTCCCACTATTTTCCAAGAGGGCGTTTTTCCAGATTTTCAATTTCAGGATTTAACCAGGAGATGGCGCTTCATTCACAAATACAGAAAGACAACTTTTCATGGACTTTCAGTTTTGTTTAGAAGAGCATTTGAACACATCAATATTTTAGATCAAATAAAGTATATCTAATCTTGTAATTCAATAATATATAGTCTTTATATATTAAATAATCATAATAATAATGTAAATGTTTACATTACACTTCTTTATTTGTCATGCTGTCTACCTACGCTGTAAAATGTATTATCTCTTCGATTTACACACAGCATCTATTGCACGTCTGTCCGTCCTGGGAGAGGGATCCCTCCTCTGTTGCTCTCCCTGAGGTTTCTCCCAATTTTCTCTTTGAAATGTGGCTTTTTCTCTGGAAGTTTTTCCTTGTACGATGTGAGGGTCTAAGGACAGAGGGTGCTCATACTCATACTGATATTCTGAACAAACTGTGCTGTTGTATTTGCTGTAAAGTGTCTTTACTGTAGGGTATTTTTATTATATGTACAAGGTTCAAGGTTCTTTATTGTCAATCTGACATAGCTACAGACAGCACTTTGGCTCGACCAAAAATCGTTTAAAAATGTGCTATATAAATAAAACTTGATTTGATTTGATTTGATGCTCATACTTTTACCTTTACAATCGTTTGCTTTAATATGCAGTATATTTTTTGTATATTTTTGTGTTTGCTTCCTCCTGCTCCCTTTCGGACACATACTGTATGATTTATTATTATTATTAATATGAAGATATTATTAAGATAAGATAAGATGTTACTTTATTGATTGAACATTTTAGTTTAGAATGTGCTATCCCACGGTAATTCAGAAGGCTCACAGGTCACATTCCGACCATTATTTAAAACAATGGGTGCTTTCATAATAATGATGAGAAACTATGAAATAAGAAATGAATCAAATTAAAATGTAATTATCATATCATATATTATATAGTGTATTGTATTATTAAGTAATATCATACATTAACCCCATTATAGCAGATGCCACATTGAATGGATGAACACATTTATGCATCAATAATTACAACAGAGTATTTCTAAATACAAGTTGTAATCTAATCCTCTTATTTTACACAATTGACAGACAGTGTTATTTGTATGTCAATAGTCATTTATTGTCATAACCTTTTTGTGTGAAATAATTTATATTATTATTATTTCCGCCCACTGTTTGGCGAGCTGCATGAGAAACTGACGGGTTGTCAGGAGAGAGAGAGAGGGAGAGAGGAAAAGAGAGGATCCGTTTCTCCCGTGTTATTATCCAAAGTTAATGTAAACTTTTGAATAATGTACTTATTATTATAGTGATGAACATTAAAAACAAAGCACGTTGGCTGATTTTGGACCCCCTCACTATTTGTTTTCACTACTTTAATTAAATGTTTGATAAGTGCATGCAGATCACAGTACAGTATGCTCGTTCAGTAAAGCACGTACACAGATAAATTATTTTGTATTCCAAAAATCAGGAAGTAAAGTCCCCTGGTTTGTGACAAGATGTGAAGTCAACAGATAGTCACTCATAGGGGGGTACTATTTATTTTCAAATGCATATAGGCAATGCCATTCATTTGCATGTAGGCAACACTGCCCTTCCAGTCAAGAATTTGAATTTGAATGGGATGGGGAGACGTGTGTGATTAAAAATTAGTGGCCAAACTAGGACTTAGTTTTTCAAAAGAGAAAATGCAGATATTACACTCAGAAAAGAAATGGTAGACATGTCAGTACTCTTAGTGGCAAGTTGTCTCAGACAATCTGCATTTCCTAATGTGGGACAGTTCTGTGCAAAATGTGGGACACTGAAAAGTCTATGTTAAAAAGCCTCAGTCACCTTAATTCATGTAATAAAAACATCTCAGGTCAGTAACACTGAAAGCTAAATGTGCAATACCATGTTCAGCTATGTTACTATTTATAATGTTATTGTTGTTACAACAGAAGATGTTTTTCCTTATATTGAAGTTAAATGCATCAATCTGTGACACTTTCATTTTGTAAGATAGCAAGTGGGGGCATATTGTGATAACCAGGCCTGTCATAAAATGCACCCCACCCAAAAAGATGTTTGTATTAATCCCACCCTCAAGCATTTTTTAGGGTATAGTTGTAGGACTAGTACCAATGAATGGAGCAAGTTTCATGAATGTGACACTTTTATTATGTAAGATAGCAAGGGGTGCATAACGTGGCGAAAATATGCTGACAAAGACTATGTAAACATATATTTTGATTATTATATGACAAATATGTAGAATTAAACAATACATTTTAAAGCACGTGTACACAGACAGGACAAGACAATAACAAAAAAAGATTAAAAAAAACAAAAACTGAAAAGGAAGTGACGAATGAATTTCGACACCACTACCATCAAATACGGAGCGAAAAGTTTAACCACAAGAATCAAGACTATATGAGCTACCACTAAACAACTCACAATCTGAAAATTACCATTAATAAAAACCCTGAATGTTTACTTTTCGTTTTAAACATCGTTTTAAGGTGTAAACGTGTCATTTAGGAACTGCGACAGCATAAATATGCGAAAACAAACCTACAGACTGCTGGAGAAGAGATATCACAGGGGGGGGTTGGGACACACACATTCCGATGGCCAATTAGTTTTAAACAAAGAGCATACTCAACATAGGCCTACAGTAGGCAGGGGGGTGGGGGCTGGTGAACGGTATGGTCAATGTTTGTAAACACTGTGACATTTTGACTTTATTTGATCATTTCAGTTAAAAACTAACGTTCATATTTCTCTTTTTGAGAAGAGAAATATGAATATGTTAGTGGCTGACCCAGTCCCATGGTCTGTCACAGTAGTGCGGGGAAAGAGAAGTGCACTGTTTTGCCTGGCTGGACCTGTAATTTACAGGAAAGGAGTGCGCGCTACTAAAGAGACGCGCTACCATGGAAACCAAACAATGGTGTAGGTGTATTGAAGTCCGAGTGGAAACAGTAGCATTTGGAGCGTTATGTTTGAATGAAACAGCCAGGTCGTGACTCACAAAAAAAAAGTGTTACTTCACTAACTGTAAGCTTGTCACTCAGGCCTAGGCTCCACGGGAACGAAAACGGGTTGAATCCGCATATTTCTCTTGCGTATAGCCCTTTAAGCTCGACGACGCCGTAACGGAAACGTAGAAACAGACCCTGCAAACGAAAACGGGTCCAAAGGTGGATAGATCTGGGAACGGAGCGCTCTGGGGGGTCCAACGGGGCCGTGTGGTAGCCTATCCGGTCATCCGTTTCATAGCCCCGCCTCTCCCCCACCTCTGCTGCTCACCCCCGCAAAAGTACACTGCACACTGAATTCAGATTATTTATCTTTATCTCGATATGGACATAAACGCGAGTGAAGTCTAATCTGACAGGACGGAGACACGCAGCTCCTCCCGCTGTGATGCAGCGGGAGCAAAACACACACTTCAAGTCAGATCATCACCCTTAGCTATTTTAATTACCTCTCAAACTACCTAAACTAGTTATAAATATGTTTATTTTTACTGTCGGGTCACTCATTACAGGATCAGCTGCTGCATGAGACAGACACTGACGCTGTGAGAAGAGAGGAAAAAGAGACAGGCTCCATCTATTTTATGATTATATATCATTATATCGTCGTTATTCATTTGTTTTAAAGCTCAATAAATAACAAAGAAGACCTTTGACCGGCACTTTTATAATTTTGTCCGGATGATTTAAACTTTAACACACGTTGACCGGCGAAAAACTCTGCCCGGTTCCCTCCGCCCCCACCGCGGAGAATAAACAGAAGTGCAGCCATGACAACCATTCTTCTTTGCTGCTTTTGTGGAGGAAGTTGCTGCTTTTGTGGAGGAAGTTACAGCGCCACGTACAGGTTCGGCATATGTACTGCAGCTTTTCCAGCGGTTGGATGTAAACGGAGCTGTCTCGTGGAGCTTGACACAATCCGGTGTATATTGCGTGTGGGCGGAAGCTTTTTGGCGTTTGCGTTTGCGTTACTCCTATGCGTTTTGCCGTATGCGTTCCCGTGGAGCCGGGGCCTCAGAGTAATCTACAGTTAACTTAACTGCTGGAGAAGAAAGATCAGGGGGGGGGGCTGTGGCTGATGGGCCATTAGGTGTGTAAACATGCATGTCAATTTAAATCAATGCATACAACAACTCGTCGGGATCCTGATCTGCCTGACAAGGCTCCATTAAAATATAAATATTTTTAGTGAATTACTGAGTTTAGGCACGTTAATAACGTTTTAATGAAGTTGAATACAGAATATTCATATTTGTCAGTGATTTCATGTCAATTCGGCGAACATAAACATAAATGATGGTGGTGAAGATGATGATTAAATTAGGATTAAAAATCGAGAGAGAGAGATCCGCTATACAGTAGTACCAGACATACTGGTATCTGTATCAAAGTTGATTTCACATGAGCTCCAGTGTGGAACCCCACTGCACCCCCTGGTGGATCAATGATCCATTGCAGCTGGCTTCACAATAATTACATTTATTTATCACAGGGGCGGTCTCAAGTCAGACTGGAGGCAGTCTCTTGATCACAGGCAAATCACGGGCCGACCACGACCCTCGCGTTTCAAACTGTCCTAAATTAGCTGCTACATCTGTACATCCCGCAGAGGGACTGAGCTCAGCGGGGGGCACAACATTAAACACACTCTTGTCTCTCTAACCCTAACCCTGCAGTGAGGATAATGAGTGTGGTGGTTCCGGCCCGGTGGCGACTCTGTACTTACTCTTTTAAAAACCTGAACATTGATTGTTGTGACATGATGACATCGTTAGTGAGTGCGGTATATTTTTTGTGTGTGTCCAGTCCTCCTTCATCTGCACGCGGCCGCGAGACATTCTACGATGTGTTTGCTCCCGTGCTTCGACTATGAGTTTGGTCCAATTCACATTTACGTTGCCTGATTACGTTAATTCATGTTGCTTTTAATTTTATAATTTTTTTTAAAGGGAAACATACGTTTGCTCTTATTTTATTATTTAAAGGTGGGGTAGGTAAGTTTGAGAAATCGGCTCGAGATACACTTGTTGTTATATTCCATGGAATGCTCTTAACATCCCGATAGCAATGAATATCTGAAGTGCTTTGACAAAAAATCCATAAAAAAATGTTATCTGTGGAAGCCGTAGTACTGTAAAAAGTACGACCAATCATCTGAGCCGGCCCGGCTAAAATAACTGGATGGCCTACCTGCCTGTCAGCCTTCCATCTGTGCGCAAACTTATCTCGTGCCCTCATTGGTCATGTGCGCGTTCGTGTGTGTTGGAGGAGGGGCTCTGTAAGGAAGTGGCAGATTTTTTCCGGTTGTGTATTTTCAAATTCTAGCGCACTCGAGCCGGTTTCCACCTCTGTTCCTTACTTCTTACTTGCTACCCCTTATCCCTCAACCTAAGGGAGTGCATGTAAGTTAGTTTAGCTGCTATAGGCTTAGACTGTCGGGGGACACCTCACTTCTTCCTTCTCTCTGTCTGTACCTGTGTACTCTCATGTTCCGAATAACCCAGCCTCCCCCAAATTTCTTTTTTGTGTCTATATCTACGCCGGGATCCTGAGTCGTGGCTGATCCTGTTGCTGTGGTCCTGTGTCCTGGATCCTCTATCCTGAGTTCTGGATTTGAGTCCTGGACTTCGAGTCGTGGCTGAACCTGTCTCTGCGGTCCTGCCTGACTCTCATCATACTACTTCCCTGATGGCTCCCACAGGATTGTTGACATCCTGGTGGATTCATCTTATTATTATAGACACATGCATTTCCTGACATTCGGTCTACCTACGCTGTAAAACGTATTATCTCTTCGATTTACACATGGCATCTATTGCACGTCTGTCCGTCCTGGGAGAGGGATCCCTCCTCTGTTGCTCTCCCTGAGGTTTCTCCCATGTTCCCCTTTAAACTGTGGGGTCTAAGGACAGAGGGTGTCGTTCTCTCATACTGATATTCTGTACAAACTGTGCTGTTGTATTTGTTGTAAAGTGTCTTTCTTGTAAAGTATTTTTATTGTATGTAGAGCACTTTGGCTCGACCAAAAATCGTTTTAAAAATGTGCTATATAAATAAAACTTGATTTGAATTGATTTGATTTTCTCCAAAATTACCTACCCCACCTTTAATTGTTAGTTTTGATAATCAAAAATAAAAATTGTTGGAAAACTATACTGTATCACGTTCTTTTGTGATCAATGAATCCACAGGAACATAGCTGCACCTGGTAGGGGGAACTCCGAAGACACAGAAAGCGGTAAAGAAATTCAGTAGAGATGTTATAATGAATGCCACTACAATGCAGATCAAGATGTCTCTCCACCAGTGTAGTTGTGGACACTCTGTTGGTCTCTGAGTTTGGAGCTCAGCAGCAGCTGTAGAAAATACACAGTTAGTAACATCATGTTGACATGGAGAAAACCTCTTTCCAGTGAAAATAAAGAGTTTATATAATACTTTTCTCCATCAGAGGTTACAATGACCTTGCATCTTTATTTAACCTTAGAATAGACAATAGAGCTACTAGAATCTGCACAAAAGTGAAGTTTGACAGTAAATACAGCACTTCTACTGAGTTTACTCACCAGTGACGTTGAGCCAGCATCTCCTAGAGTTACTCCCATCAGGTCTGACGAGTATCTCACAC